ACTCAAGATGAAACAGCTGGTAAATGGCAAAACTGGGATTAAAACCCTGGAAGTCTGGCTCCAGAGGTCAGATTCTTTTCTATATTTCTTTCTTTTTTTTTTTTTGCATATTCTTTTTCATTACAAGTAACTACAGAGATCATATTCTTAACAACTAATACTATTCTGCTTCTCCATCCAAGATACTTCCTTTATGTAATATAGTGTGTTTAAAACCTAAATAATTTTGTAGCCCCAGATCTTCTCTTTTCCCAAGATGACATGTTCGTAACATTCTTTAATAAATCCTCCCATGCTCAGAGTGGGGACAGTGGGTATTTTACAGTCCAATGGCACTTCCAGACCATTACCTTTATTACCTTCTTTTAAAAATCTCTGTTCTTCGTTTAGGCTTATGTCATTCCATACCCCTGCTCATTGCTGTCATCCTCTAATTTAGTTTTGTTCTCTGTATTCACATTCAGAGTTTAGGACAGAATCAGTTTTTAGTGATGAACCTAAATTCTGCAAAATCCTTATCATGTACATGTACCTATTAGACATTGCTGATATTAAACATTTGAGCAAATACAAGTCAAAAGAAGAAAAAAATGATTCTAGTAAACATTGTGAACGACTGAAAAAGAATTTAGAGCTACTGGCAGTGAATATAACCTCTATTTTAATATAGATGACCAAGGAGAAAGGGCACTAGGATCTACATACTGCCACCATGCAGTGGCCATATTGGGATATCTTCTGTTTCCATGGAGTATAATTATTGTTATGGGCTAAACTGTGTCTCCCTAAAATTCATATGTTGAAGTTTTAACTTCCAGTACCTAGAATATGACCTAGGTTTTTACAGAGGTAATTAAGGTTAAATAAGGTCATTGAGGTGGGCACTAATATGACTGGTATCCTTATAAGAAGAGGGGATTAGGGCACAGACACAGAGGGAGAAGACAGCCATTTACAAGCCAGGGAGTGGGGCCTCAGAAGAAACCAACTCTGCTCATACCTTGTAGCCTTAAGAACTGGGAGGAAATGAATGTCTTTTGCTTAAGCCACCCAATCTGTAGTACTTTGACGTGACAGCCCTAGCCAATTAATACAGCTACGGAGGCTTTTGATTGTGTTGCCCAAAAGGGCTCGAGATTGTAGTTAGAACTGGCCCTGCCCAGAATCTTAACCATCTTTATTGACTGCATCTTAGTGATGTTCTTAGAACCTTACAAATTATTGTCCATAGTAATTTAAAGGACGGTCAAGACAGATTTTTAATATGATGCCCACCTTAACTGCATACTACATTTCTGTCTGTTCCTTGAAAGGAAAGAAACAGAAAAGATGGGTCTGTTATAGATAGGCCTTGATGCTAGCTATCTCTTAAGTGTCTTGGATGAGTATGATCAACCTTAAGAGGCATAATATATATGATTTGATTTGGGTTGAATTAATTAACCTCAAATCTATGATCAACTTGTACATCTTCTTATAATATGATTTCAGCCTGCTGATTGACACTAGACATGGGTATTGTTGACATAACCCTATCTGAAGGAATACTAGATATGGTCTGTGGTGTAGTTGATGTCCCTAGAGAGAGGAGGCAGATCTGTCTTTGGCTAAATAACCAGTCCAGCTTTAGAACTCCTGAGGAGAGAAGTTTGGTGTTGGCAACTTTCTGGAACATAGAATGGCTTAGATTTTGATTCAGTTTTGAATTGAAGACTAAAACTTCATTGGCTATAAAATGTAGCAAGAAATCCTCATTAGAGTAATCTTTATATTGGAAGAGTTCTAGCTCTAGCATACTTCCTATTGCATAGGATTTTTTTCATACAATCTCTAGTTAAAAAAAAAACTATTCAGCCTTTAATTGAATATCTTCAGCAACAAGAAGTTCATTATTGAAGTTTGCAGCCAGTACTAATTCAGCCCTCTGGCCTCTCCTGTATCACATGTGTGAGAGGCTTTCTGTAGACTTTTATGGCAAAGGACAGGTGTTCCTTTGGGCCTCCTCCAAAACTGGGCAGCCTTTGAAACCCCTTTTTGGTAGTGTCAAGATTGTTTCCTGCCAAAGAGAAAGCACTATTTTCATTTTACGAACACCTGCTTTTCTTATCTGTCTTTTTTTAAACAACTGCTTTTCCAAGTAAATCTAAAAGTGGAACATCTCCAGAACTTGTTCTTATCCTGACCCTATTGTAGGCAAATCACTTCACTTCTTTCTGTCTCAGTTTTCTATGTCATTAAACATTAATAGCACTTCGAGTGTCGCTATAAGGATTAGATGAGTCAATATATGTACAATTCTTCAGAATACTCCCCAGGCTGGTATGGCACTTATTTTGCTGCTATCTTTGTTCGAATATCCACATTTTGCTGATCCTCACACTTCATTTTGCTTCCATTAATTTTCCTTTAGGTTCCATTAGTTCTGTCAGATTCTTGCTTTCCCATGGGTAGCTCTGCATATCACTTATCATTGTGTACCACTCATGGAGGCTTTGATATTGGTGAAGTTAAGGCAGTGACAGCTGGGTGCTCTCCTGCCCTCTCATGCAGGCACACTAACTGTTGCTGCTATAAACTGACCTCTTGGGCACAATGAGACATAGACTAAAACAAGAAACATTCTGAATTACATTCTTTTGGGAGGGCCATTTTTGACAGTGGGAAAAGTCCATCAACACAGGTTTAAGGTGTTTCATTTTTCCTCCCCTCCTCTGTAAGGGAAAGAATAGCTTGAGAGTATATGTGGATGTGATTCTCTTGTTAGGTAAGGGAAGGTACTTTTTTTTTTTTTAATGGAAAGATAAAGTAATGAAGAATGCTAGCTGTGACTTAACCCCAGGAAACTTTGTATGGCAGAGAATTATTCACAGCTCCTGGCTTCAGTGACTGAATAAACATATAGTTCTATTTGGCAAGGTGTCAAAGTCTTGCTTTTGAATTAAGAGCAGGAAGCTGAAGGTTTCTAGGATATTTCTGTTTTCAGAAGTAGGAAAATTTTGTTCACTGGAAAATTTTTTCTTTTGAAAGGTTGTATTGTGGAAAATACCAAAAATATCCCAAAGTAGAGTAATTTTACTTGCCCAATATCTATGTTATCAACTCATGGACAATAGTATCTCATTTACTTCTCACCTATTCCTCTTACACCCAATTATTTTAAAGCAAATCTCAGACCGTGTCATTTCATCTGTAAATATTTCAGTTTGTATCTCTGAAGGTAAGGACTCTTTAAAAAAAAAATAAGCATTACCATTATTACACCTAAGACAATAATAGTTTATCAATATCATCAAATATGCAGTCAACATTCAATTGTTTTATGACATTTCATTTTTTTGAACCAATATCCAAACTATGCCAATACAGTTCATTTGATTAATATATCTCTTAGGTAGGGTGACCATATAATTTATTATCTAAACTAGGAAATTTTTAATAATGAAAAAAGATTCTTTTAACAGTTATACTGGGACAGCAGGCTTAAACCTGGCCTGTCATGGACGAACTGGAATGTCTGGTCACTGTGCTTTTAAGTTTCTTTCAATCTAGGTTTTCTTCCTCTTTTTTTCTCTTACATTTCATTTGTTTAAGAAACTGAGTTGTTTGTCCTTGTAGACTTTCCCACATTCTGGATTTTGCTGATTGCATCCCTGAGAAGTTATTTAACATGTTCTTATGACCTCTATATTTTCTATAAACTGGAGTCTTGATCTGATTCTGGTTTGATTTGAGGACTTGGGGAAGAATACTTAATAGTTGGTGCAGTGTACAGCTGTTAGGAGACAGGTAATGTCAAGTCTCTCCCTTGTTTTGATAGTAGTGGTCATTGATAATTATCACCTAGATCTGTTATTTTATTAGGAGTTTGCAAAAAAGGTTATATTCTCATTCCTTTTCCATTTATTAGCTACAATACTTCCATGAAAGCTATTTCCTCCTAGTTATCTATTTGTTACCCTAAGATATAGTTAGGCACACTTACTCTCAAGTCAACTTATGTAGACTCTTTCCTGGGTCTTCAACCTGACACCTGTGTCACCAGTTCCTTGGTCAGTGTTTCATAACTACTGCTTTGTAATGAAGATTGTTTACCCAGAGTAATGCAACAGGAGATTTTTTGTCTGTGTGAAAGCCCTGGGGGCTTGCCATTTTAGTAGCTGCTGACTGAATGCTCAGCTGAGGCTTCCTCTTTTGGCTCCTTAGTAGTCATCCTGGGACAGGCAGCTTGTCATATAGACTCTTATTCTGTAGGTGCTCTTTAAGAGGTGAAAACTGATTCAGGTAGCAGGAACTCAGCAGCCAGGCAGCTGCAAAAGATAAATGTTATTTGTTAAGTTCCATTGGAGGGAGTGGTTCTTGCAGCAGCTTCTCTTTCATGCCTCTCGGCGCTATAGGAGGGGCCAGTGCTGCTCCTGATTGCCTCAGGGACTAGGGTCAGTACCTTTCCTGATCTTGGTAGATAGGATAAATTTGGGACTTAAGAGAGTCCTTCTGTTGAGGAACTAGCGCACTAGGGGGAGGAATCAGAGACACAAATAATTTCCAATGATCCTTGGCATAGAAGAGTTAATTTTCATGGTGTATCTTCAGGATAAATTCCTAGAATTGGGGATGCTGAGTCAAAGAATAAATGCATATGTAGTTCTATTACATGTTGTCAGATTTTCCTTTATAGTGGTTATATCATTTTATTTCCACCAGCAGTGTAAGAGAATATATATTTGTTCACCACCTTGCCAACAGAATGTATTGTCAAACTTCTGAATTTTTGCCAATCTCTTGGATGAGAAATGGTGTCTCAGAGTAGCTAACTTAAAAAAAGTTATACTAAGGAGGGTATAGTTCAGTGTTAGAGTGTGTACTTAGCCTGCACAAGGTCCTGGGTTCAATCCCTATTAGCTCCATTAAAAAAGAAAGTTTATCCTGAAATGTTCCTTCAGGGTCAAGAATTTATTTCCCACTCTTATGTGGAGGGAATTAATTTTCCTTTCCTAGGAAATTTATGTGGATGCTTCCATTTTTTTTTCATTCAATTGTACACTAGGCCCTCTGAACAGAATAGGCCCAAGTTGGCAGTAGAAAAGTCCCCAGGATGTAGTGGAGAAAGAATGCACCCTTTTTTTTTAAAAAATTTTTAAAGATCTGTTGACTTAATTCATGAATCATGCAGAATCCAGTCTAACAGATTGAAAGGAACTCGATATTCAGGACATTACATCCAAAAAAACCCAGAATATACATTCTTTTCAAGTGCACATGGAACATTCTCTAGGATAGATCACATACTTGGACACAAAACAAGCCTCAGTAAGTTAAGAGGACAAAAATGATTTCAAGCATCTTTTCTGACCACAACAGCATGAAACTGGAAATCAACCACAGAAAGAGAAACAAGAAAAAAATGATTGCATGAGACTAAACAACATGCTACTGAACAGCCAATGGGTCAATGATGAAATCAAAAAAGAAATTTAAAAAACCCTTGAGACAAGTGATAATAAAAACACAATCACTGAAAACCTATGGGATGCAACAAAAGCAGTCCTAAGAGGGAAGTTTATAGTGATATAGGCCTTCCTCAAAAAACAAGAAAAATCTCAAATAAACAACCTAACTTACCACTTAAAAGAAGTAGAAAAAGAAGAACAAATAAAACCTAAAGTCAGCAGAAGGAAAGAAATAATAAAGATCAGGGAGGAAGTAAATAAAATAGAGATTTAAAAAACAATAGAAAAAAATCAATCAAACCAAGAGCTGTTTTTTTGAAAGAGTAAATAGAATTGACAAACCTCTGGCTAGGCTCATCAAGAAGAAAAGTGAGAGGACACAAATAAAATAAGAATGAAAGAGGAGAAATTATAACTGATATCACAGAAATTAAAAAAAATAAGAGACTACTATGAATAATTATATGCCAACAACAAGGTGAACAACCTAGAAGAAATGGACAAATTTCTAGAAACATACAGTCTACCAAAACTGAATCAAGAAGAAATAGATAATTTGAACAGACAAATTACTGGAAGTGAAACAGAATCTGTAATTTAAAAAAAACTCCCTACAAAGAAAAGTCCAGGACTAGATGGCTTCACTGGGGAATTCTACCAAACATACAAAGAACTTATACCAATACTCCCACACTCATTCTATGAATCCACCATCACCCTGATACCAAAACCAGACAAAGACACTACCCAAAAAAAAAGAAAATTAAAGACCAATATCTTTCATGAATATAGATACAAAAATTCTCAACAAAAGATTGTCAAACCAAATCCAATAACGCATAAAAAAGGTCATACACTATGATCAAGTCAAATTCATTCCAGGGTCACAAGGGTGGTTCAACATCACAAATCAATCAATGCGATACACCACATCAACAAAAGAAGGACAAAAACCATATGATCATCTCAAGCATTTGATAAAATTCAGCATCCATTCATGATAAAAACTCTTACCAAAGTAGGTATAGAGGGAACATATATCAACATAATAAAAGCTGTTTATGACAAACCCACAGCCAGCATAATACTCAATGGTAAAAAGTTGAAAGCCTTTCCACTAAAATCTAGAATAAGACAAAGATGCACACTCTCACAACTTCTATTCAACATAGTATTGGAAGTCTTAGCCATAGCAATCAGACAAGAAAATGAAGTAAAAGAGATCCAAATTGGAAGGGAAGCAGTAAAATTGTCACTATATGCAGAAGACATGATTCTATAGATTGAAAACCTTAAGGACTTCACACAAAAACTACTAGAGCTGATTAATAAATTCAGCAAGTTAACAGATTACAAGGTTAACCTACAGAAACCTGTTGCATTTCTTTACACTAACAATAAATATTGAAAATGGAAAGTAAAGAAACAATCCCTTTTAAAATCACATCAAAATATATAAAGTACTTAAGAATTAACCTGAACACTGGAGGTGAAAGACTTATATGCTGAGAACTATAAAACATTGATAAAGGAAATTAAAGATGATTTAAAGAAATGAAAAGATATCCCATGGTCTTGGATTGGAAGAATTAATATTGTTAAAATGGCCATACTACCCAAAGCAATCTACAGATTTAATGAGAGCCCTGTCAAATTACCCAGGACATTTTTCACAGAAATAGAAAAAATAATTCTAAAATTTATATGGAAAGGAACTTTGAGGATCTGTACAAAATGAGACTTTTATAGGCAGAAGGGAATGGAGAGAAAGATGTTATACTAGACAAAAAGGCTGGTTGGTTATATTACAAGTTCTCTTTCGGGGAAGAGAGAATGCTTTTTTATCCAGAAAGCTTTCAGCCTTATTCACCTCCATTACAGCCATTCTTGGAACTTTTCAGGCAATTGCTCTAGACTTTAGCAGAAATATTTTAAAAAACTGATTGCAAAACTGCAAGGATAGTTCAAAGAGTCCCCTACCCCTTGAAACCAGTGGTTAGCAAACTAGAGCCCATGGAACAAATGTAGTTTGCCACCTGTGTTTGTGTAATCCATAAGCTGAGAATGGATTTTACCTTTCTGAAGGGATGTTTTTTTAAAAAAGGACTATGTGACAGAGATAACATATGGCCATCAAAGCCTAAAATATTTATTATCTGGCCCTTTACAGAAAGAGGTTGCCAACCCTTGCCCTAACCCAGTTGAGAAACAGTTCCTGACAAATCCCATCACCCTAGAATACTTTAGCATGTGCTTCCTATAGAGACATTTTCATAATTACAATACAGCCATTAAAATTAGGAAATTAGTGTTGATAAATACTGTCATCTAATTTACAGACTCAATTCATATTTTACCAAATGTCCTAGTAATGTCTTTTTTTTAACGGAAGTATTTAATCTAGGATCTTGTGTTATAATTTTATTGTTTCTTTTTTCCCCCAAATTTGGAACATTTCTTTAGTCTTTCTCAACTTTTATAACTTTGACACTTTTGAAAATTACAGAGCAGTTATTTGATAGAATGTCCCTCAATTTAGGATTGTCTGATATTTCCTCAGGATTGGATTTGGGTTATGCATTGCTAGAGAGGAAAAACTTTTCCTCTTTCGTCTTAATTTGGTGATCAGGGACCTGCAACAAAAGACAGATCAACAGGCGAAAATGCATATGATTGCTTTTTTGGACTGCTAAATATGGTTGTCTTTATTTTCTTTTTCCTTGCCCAGCCCTGTCTAAACAAAACAAAGCTACAGGACTGAAATTAACAACCCATTAAAATCAACAATAAGTTATGAAAATCATAAAGCTTTTTTTCCCTCTAAGTAATTAAGGGTAGTTAAATTATTTAAAGTATACAGAGTCCAAAGAGCCAGAATGAAGTCTCCAAGGCTTCTTGGCGTAAGGAAGAGGGCCTTGGAGTCTGAAAGACAAAGGGAACACATGACATCAACGTGCAGGCTAAAAATTTCACTTAAAAGAAAATAACATTTCTGAAAATATTGACAAGAGCAGCAATAGCACCTGCACAGTGGGATTGTGAAGAACTTAAGAGACAGGCATAAAATTTTTATTAATATTTACATTCAAGGGAGTTCACTGAAAAGAAACGGAAAGAAGTGGTTAACTTAGAAGCCTATATGCCCTTTTAACAAAGGAAAGAGGGTTGGACTTCAAGGATGATAAATTGTGGGGAACTAATGGAAGATAAGGGTTATTTCAGTAAGGTCTGTTTACGGAAATATATCATAGCTCTTTTCTCCCTGATACAGAGGGACACCTTCCTCAAAAGGAAATTTGCTGGATTTTAGGCAGATAGGGAGAAGGCAGAGAACTCTTTCTGCTCTTGTTGATTCTCAGTTATCTTTGACTTAAAATAATCCTTTTACCAAAGTAGCATATTTGGGATGGCATATTCTGATCCCTTCAGCATCTTTGGCAGAGCATTACTATTCCTCAAAAAGGATAGTGTGTTCTTCTTACTAAGTTTTATCAGGTGATAACAAGCTTTTGTTTTGTCTCATTACTGTGAAGTTAACTTTGATCTATTAATTAAGGTGTGTCTGCTAGGTTTCTCTGCTGTAAGATTGCTCTTTTTCCCTTTGTGATTAATAAATATTTTATAGGAAGGTTATTGAAATTATGTAACTACCCCATTCCTCATTAAATTTTAACCCACTGTTTTTAGTATCCATTTATGTTCCTTGGCTGAATTATTACACCATGCTTTTTGATACTTAGATTGTACTATATTAGGTCAAGGGGAGTCTCTTCATTCTGGCTTGTCTTTTTGACACGTCTATATCATTCTTTTAGAACTTCCTCTTTCTGGCCCAGTAAAATGATTCTGACTGGCTTATTTTGGCCCTCCCTGCCCTAGCCCTCAAGTTAGTCATTTGTTTAAGGAACATGATTCCTTTTAGTGGAGAATGATATTTAAAAGCCACCATATGGTAGGCATGGTTGCTGATATTTGGGTTCACTGTTCACAGAGAATGTAAGCATGTAACATGCATATATCTTTTAAAATTCCTTGATCTCTTTATATTGAAAACTATAAGCTGACACTGACATCTCTACTTCCAATTCTAGTTTATTCTAGTTTTTTCCATTTCCATAGTTGTAACTTCTTTCTTTGGTAGTGAGAAAACTGATTCTCATTACCCTCAATATATTTATTTAATAATTTTTTCCTGTGTGTAACCTATCTCCCTTTACAGTCACTGACCTCCTGCATATATGCCCTCACCTTGCTAGGTCTCCACCACCCTGTGCCAAACTGATACCACTGTTCTCTGCAAGTAGACAACCTTTTTACTCTCATCAGTCTGTGACATCCCATGCCAGGCGCCTTCCCCCCAGCCTCAACCATTATCATCATCTAATGGCTTCTAGACTGAATTATTCAGAAAGGAATGGGAGGAGGGAGGATTCTTGGGTCCACTAACTACATCAGACGCAGCCTCAGGTGCCTGCATAATTCTTTAAAAGTAAATCTACAGAGATAATTTACATACTATAAAATTCACTAATTGTAAGTTATCTAGTGGTTTTTTACTAAATTTATAAAATTATGCTGTCACCACCAGAATCTAAATTTAGAATATTTCCATAATCCAAGAAGTTTCCTCATGCCCATTTGCAGTTAATCTTAGGCTTTTTCCCAGCCTTAGGCAACTGCTGATCTGATTTTGGTTGTGTAAATTTGCTGTTTCTGAACATTTCATATAAATGGAATCATACTCTTTGTAGTTTTTTTTGTTTCTGGCTTCTTGTGTTTAGCATGTTTTTGAGGTAATTTATCCATGTTGTAGCGTGCATCAGTAGTTCATTCCTTTTTATTGCTTAATAATGTTCCATTGTATGGATATGCCACATTTTGTTAGTCCATTCTTCAGTTGATGGACATTTGGATTGTTTCCAGTTTGGGACTATTAAAAGTAAATGTTGCAATGAACATTTGCATGCATGTCATTGTGTGGACAAATGTTTTTATTTCTCTTGGGTAAGTCCTGGGAATGGAATTGTGTTATATGATTAGTTTATACTTATTTTTTTTAAGTTGTATCATTTTATATTCCCAACAGCAGTTTTTGAGGGATCATTTTTCTACATCTTCACCAACAGTAGGTATTCTTTCTTCTTGATTATAGCCATGCTAGTGGGTATGTAATAGTAGCTCATTGTGCTTTTTAATTTGCATTTCCCTAGTAACCAATGATCTGAGCATTTCATCATGTTATTATCAGTCATTTGTGTATTTTTTGGTGGACTGTCTATTCAGCTATTTTGTTCATTAAAATTTTTGATTCCTTTGTCTCCTGATTGAGTTTTGAGTTCTTCATGTATTCTAGATACAGGTCCTTTATCAGATACATGATTTGCCAATAGTTTCTCCTAGTCTGTGCTTTGTATTTCATTTTCTTGGATGGAGTCTTTTGAAGTACAAAAGTTTTAAATATTTTCTTTTATGAATCATGCTTTTGGTATGGTATCTAAGAACTATTTGTCTAACCCAAGGTTATAAAGAATTTCTTCTGTTTTTCTCTAGAAGTTTTATGGGTCTTTTTGTTCTCAAATTTACATCTTTGATCTGAGTTAATTTTTGTGTATGATATGAGGTAAAGGTAAAGGTTTTCTTCTTTTTGGATGTGGCTATCCATTTGTTCCAGCATAATTTTTAAAAGGCTGTCTTATTCTTATTATCTTGGCACCTTTGTTCGAATCAGTTGACCATAAGTGTTAACGGTTTATTTCTGTACTCTCACTTCTGTTCCGTTAATTCATATGCCTATCCTTGTGCTAAGTCCATACTGTCTTAAATAATACCACTTTATAGTCAGTTTTGAAATCAAGTAGTGTAATTCTTTCAGTTTTATTCTTCTTTTTCAAAATTATTTTGTCCATTTTGGTTACTTTGTGTTTCCACATAAATTTGAAGATCAAGTTTGTCAATTTCTACAAAAAGCCCACTGGCATTTTGATAATGATTGCTTTGAATTTATAGATCATTTTGGGAGAGCATTGTCACCTGAACAACACTGAGTCTTCTAATTGATGAACATGGAATATCTCTATTTATTTAACTCTTTAATTTCTCTCAGCAGTATTTTGTAATTTTCAGTGTACAAATATTACACTTCTTTTGTTAAATTTGTTCCTAGTATTTTACTCTTTCTAATGCCATTGTGAGTAGACTTATTTCTTATTTCATTTTCAGATTGTTTGTTGCTAGTATATAGCAATACAACTGGTTTTTAATGTACTCATGTATCCTGTGATTTTGCCAAATTTGTTTATTGGTTTATCCTTTTGCATTTTCTTTCCCTTTTATTCTGTTTTTCTTATCTCTTTCTTAATGGCTTAAAAATTTTTTTCATTTTCATGTTTAATTGTGGTTACATATACAGAACATAAGATTTGCCATTTTAACTATTTTTAAGTATATAGTTCTGTGGCATTAAGTACACTCACATTATTGTGCAACCATCACCCCATCCATCCATGTTTAGAATGTTTTCATCTTTCCAACCTTAAACTCTGTACCCATTAAACACTAATTCACCATTCCTTCCTCTCCCAGCCCCTGGCAACCACCATTCTGTGTTCTTTCTCTATGAATTTGACTACTTCAGGCACTTAATACAAGTAGAATCATAAAACATTTGTTCTTTTGTGATTGGCTTATTTCACTTAGCATAATGTCTTTAAAGTTCATCCGTGTTCCAGCATGTGTCAGAATTCCCTTCCTTTTTTAGGCTGAATAATATTCCATTATGTATATACACCACATTTTGTTTATCCATTCATCTGTTGGACACTTGGGTAACTTCCACCTTTTGACTGTTGTGAATAATGCTGATGTGAACATGGTGTAGGTATATAATCTAGTCACTGCTTTCAGTTCTTTTGAGTATGTGCCCAGAAGTGGAGCTTCTAGATAATACAGTAATTTTTTGTTTAATTTTTTTGAGGACCTACCATTACTATTTTCTACAACATCTACACCATAGTACATTCCCACTAGCAATGTGTAAGTGTTCCAATTTCTCCACATCCTAACCAGCATTTGTTCTTTTCTCCTTTTGTAGTTGTTGTTTATAATAGCCATCCTAATGAGTGTGAAGTGGTATCTTAGGTGGTTTTGATTTCAATTTCCCTAATGATTAGTGATGTGGGGCAGCATTTCACATGCTTTTTGGCCATTTGTATATCTTCTTCAGAGAAATGTCTTTTGGAGTCCTTTGCTTATTTAAATATCTGGTGTTGTTTATTTTTTTGTTGTTGAGTTGTAGGAGTTATTTATATATTCTGGATGTTAATTTTTATAGTATCTTTGTATAGATTTTGTGCTGGTTCCTTCTGGATTACTAATTATTATTTTTGAAAGAGGTATATTCTTCCTAGTCTAAATGTTTGTAAGAAGTTTATAAAGAAGAAAGACCAGGACAGTGGACTAGACAGTTAAGAAGTGTCTGTGGTTCATAATGAAGCTCATTATATTGCAGTTTTTTCCTCTTGAGCTGAAAGTCTGTCTTTAGTCTTCTATTCTATGGTCCTAAACAGAGTCCAGGAAAAAAGTTCATGTAGCCATCCATTCATTGTGTCTCTGTCTTTCCCTAGTTCTCTTTTTGGTTATGTTAAAATTTACCTCATCTAATTGAGGTATAATTGACAGAACATTATATTAGTTTCAAGTGTACAGTTTAATGATTCAGTATTTGTATATATTACAAAATGATCAACCCCATTAAGTCCAGTTAATAACATTTGTCACTATTCATGGTTGTAATTTTTTTCTTGTAATGAGAACTTTCAAAATCCACTCCCTCTCCTAACTACTTTCAAATAGCCAGTAAAGTATTAACTAGTCATCATGCTGTATGTTAAATCCCCATGACTTACTTGTTTTATAACTGGAAATTCATACCTTTTGACTCCCTTTGCCCATTTTGCTCACCCCTCCTCCCTACCCCTTGCCTCAGGCAACCACCAGTCTGTTCTCTATACCCATAAGCACAGATAAATTTGTTTGTTTTAGATTCCATATATAAGTGATTTGTATGATATTTATCTTTTTATGTCTGACTTATTTCACTTAGCATAATGCCCTCAAGATCCATCCATATTTTCACAAATGGCAAAATTTCATTTTTTTAATGGCTGAATAATATTCTTCTATGTGTATGTGTGTGTGTATGTGTGTATTCTTCATCCATTGATCATGTACAGTTTTAATTTATGAAACATCTATTTAAGTTTTTCCGTATCCATCTGTTCTTGTTTCATTATTCCCAGTTTTGATTCATTAATTTTTATTTTTTAATGTTATTTATATTTTTGATAATATAAAATGTTCTGTATTTGCAAGTCTTTTTCAGATTTTTATTACTTAAATTTTAACCTGTGAAAGTTCTTCTTCCCATTATTGATTTTATTGGCTGACTTTCTTAGCATTAGATTTTTAAAAGTGTTTTGGTTATTATTGTAAATAATAATTTGTTTTCTATGACATTATTACTAACATATGCAAGTACTAACAGTTTTATATCTTTCCATCCTATCCTCAGCTTTTTGAGTTTTATTTGTATTTTCAGAGATTCTGATATTAAGTTCAGGAGTAGCAATGAGATCAGATGCCTTTATGTTTTTTCTTGACCTTAAAGGGAATATATTTAAAGTTGTTCCCTTGACTATAATAATTTTCCTTTAAATTTTGAGTAAAGATCTTTAAAATTAAGAATATGTCTTCTGTTTTCTATTTTCTTGAGTTTTCCTTTATATCCTATTAAACTTTATCAAATACCTTTCTCTCTTTTTTCTTTCCAAATCTTGATATATTTTGATATGAAAAAATCATATTTGCTAACATTAACATCACCATCACTCTCATCAGAAAAGTCTAAATATTGGGAAGCTGTCAAATTCATGATATAAGTTTTTCAAAATTCTGATTTTTTAAAAGGTCGAATTTTCTTATTGATAACAGATACAGTCAGTTGTTTTCCTTAAAATGATAGACTTGTTTTGTTCATTTCAAGAAAGTCTGGATAACTGTAAAATGATGTTCATTTTAAAAAATGGCTCACGACTCAACCAACAGCACCCATGTCTTCTTTAGACAATCATTGTACTTTGATAATTCAGTAGTAAGTAGTGTTTTACACGTACTTATTTTGTCAGAGTATTTAGAAGGTAGTCAAGGTTTAATAAAACTACTAATTTTTATTCCTTCAACAAGTACATTCTGAGTCAGTCTAGAATTTTTTTTTTAACTGCAAATGAGTGATGGTGAAACATATAATTGACTAATAGAACATTTTGGTTCCTTTTGTGGTGAGGTGCCAGAAGTTTTACGCACTGTTGCTATTGTAACATCACTGCAAATGTCACCTAGTGAAAAAGGCAAATCATTCCTTTCATTTTCTATGAAAATAGTTTTGACATGGCAGTCCTTCTAAAAAGGGTCTCAGGGCCCCTTAGGGGTTTGCAGACCAACTTGATCATGATTTTTTTTAAAACTTGCTAAAATTTTACAGAATTAAAACATGTATGCTTATAAAGGAAATGGACTATAATTTTAAGGCTGTTGTTATCTGGCTTTTAATCAAAGTTATATGAATGTCATAAAGTAACTTAGCTTTCCAAATTTCTGTTTTCCATCACAACTTTACAATAAGCAAAGATTACTTGTTCATTGAGAGTGTGTTAGTTTTCTCCTGTAGAGCTAGCTGACTTGTGGTGGGAGTCTTGTGGAGATGTATAATAAATTCTATAATGGAAAGTTATACAAAATTCAGTGCCAGTGTATGGAAACCAATCTTTAATTCTGCCTGGAGAACACGAGGCTTTAGAAGAGAAGAAAGCTCCTGAGTAGAGAAGAATTAACATATTTTTGCCAGGTAGACATTTGAGGCAAGGGTATTTAAGCAGAAACAATAGCGTGTGCAAGCGAGTGAAAACATAATGGTGTGGGTTTGTTTAGTATTAGGGTGTAAAGTGGATGGAAGGTGGATTTGTGGGGAGGTGATGATGGGTAGGACAAATGGACAGGGAGCTGTATCATGAAGGGTCTTGAATGGCATGTTGGTAACTAGTTTAGGTATTTATTTGGCTGTCATAGTTATCAGAGGATTTTGAGTAGAGGTGTGACATGATCATTTGCTAGTTTTCTTTAGACGTACCACTACTGCTTAGAATTGAACCATGATTGTACCAATTAAAATGCAGTATAATTACTACTGTTAGTTACTGCTTTCTACAGATGTCTTCTACCTGGGTAAATGTTCTATCCCAGCCATCCCCTTTCTATTCACTTTACATAGCTGTAAGCTACTCACATTTCAAATATAATTTTATTTTGTATAAATGGACATAACTTCAAAAGTCAAGTAGTTCTTTAAGGCTTATAAAAGAAAGCTAGATATCCTTTACCCCACTCTTATGATCCTTGATTCTTGCTTCTCAAAAGTAACCATTTAAAATTATTTTATCTATTTCATTGTCAGTTGTGACTTCATAACTTATTTCTAATTGAATCATTGTATGCTGTCATTATGTTTGTTTTTACAACCTTTTGTTTTCTTGAGGGTAATAATTATCTCACTTTTACTTTGCTTTATATTCTAGGTAGAATTAATATATTCATCCCCAAAATTTTTATCAGAGCTGCAAAATGCTTCTCAGTACGTTGCATTAGATGATCTAATCATCCCCATCTGTGCACACACACGCCCACCACACTGGATTACTCTAAAACTCTCTCATCTTCTGCTCCAGCCTAAACTGATTGTTCTTTAGTCCTCTTGCATAGTTGTCATTATGATATTACCAGTACCTCTGACCTCTGTCCACTATGGATTCTAATAAGTTTCCCAGATCTTCTGCCCTTCTCTTAGTCAAATCCTTCATTTCGGTGGAGCATAGCCACCCAGATTCTTAAAAGGCACCTGTTGCCTGAGTTCTCTTCCCTCACATAACTTAAGTTTTTTCAGCTGTGAACCTCTAAAGGCCAAGATTGATTATATTTTGCACATTTTTTAGTCCTTCCAGTGCCTGGTATAGGACCTTGCAGTTAACTGTCATTAAAAATGACTGGGATATAGTGGTTTGACTGCTGAAAGTGGGAGCTTGGTCCTAAAAGTAGACTCTGTATCCATGGCTATGTCATAGAAATGGAATTATGTTCTAATCTTCTCTATTATGGAAATTTGGACATAGGCCAGGCAGCTGGGCTGTTTACTGAGGGGGCAGACAGAAAAGAAGGGTTGTTACTAATGCAGGATTTAATCTGGATGTTGGACAAACATTATGGAGTAATTACAAGATATTCTGTATTTCCCTTTAACCACTGGTTGTCAAAGAAACTGGTCTGGAAATGTAACCTGGCAGTGGGCTTATCATTTGGAACTTCCGAAGAAATCCAGAAGCCATGGGAACTAGTAAAGACAAACCAAATATACCACAACCTCCCAACAGTATATAATCAGAGACAGCATTAGACTGCTTTGTTTTACCAAGGCTCATGTTGGTGGAAAGCCTCTGCAGTGGAGGTGCACTGCATTCAAAAAAAAAAATCTTTAGTCTCACTGACCGCTTTCCTTTGATTATCAAGAAATGCACTGCTTTAAGAATGCATTATAGGACCACTCTCTCCCATTCATTAGTTATCCAAATAATAATAACTGTGTTATCAGCCACTATCCTGGGTACTGGAAATATAGACGTGCTTAGAATACACAAATTCTTAAGCAGTGTCCTCTCTAGGGCTTTTAAATTTCTCTGCCAGATTCATTCAGTTAGAGCTCTGTGAACATCAGCTACAGTCACCAATGACAGAATTATCTGACTTTCTTTATCTTGAGAACAGGAATGGGGGCATGGTGCTGCTGCCCTGTCAGGGAAACTTCCCACTATGTCACATGATTCCAGGGGAGGAGATTGTACTGGCTTACATTTAGCCACTTTCCCCCTCTCCTTTTGTTTTTTATTTTAAAACTGTTGATTCATTCCAAGCATTCTGTGCCTATTAAATCCATGTGGTACCTTGGACATTGGCATTTGAGCTCTAGAGGTAAGTTTATTTCTTTTCACTCCAAGTTGATATTGTTGCAGGACTATGTTGCTGAGACTTTCAGGCCTGGCTGTTATAATCTGCTAGAAGCTGAATCATGTTTCCTTTGCATTGTTGATGGTCTTTTCTTCTATAACACAATGAAGATTCAGGATTGGCTAGCATAGAGATAATCTGTACCTCTTTATCTGATCAAGAGTTTTTTGCTGTACCTTGATTTAGAGTTGGTGTAAGGATGGTAGCTAAGATTGCCATGACTAAGGAATTTGGTGAAAGCATAGTCTTTGCTGAACCTCTACGATAACAGATCTCCTCCCTAGTATTTGTGGCTGTGTCAAAGTTCTGCTCCAGTCCCTAAAGAAGTTTTTTTTTCCTTTCTTTTTTTTCAGCTTTACTGAGGCATAATTTACGTATAACATTGTGTAAGTTTAAAGTGTACAATGTGATCATTTGATACACATACATATTGTGAAATGTTTACCACAATAAGGTTAGTTAGTACATACTTTACCTCACACAGTTACTGCTTTATCATTGTTGGTGAGAACATTAAAGCTCAACTCTCACAGCAACTTTGAAGTATATAATATAGTATCGCTAACCACAGTCACCATGCTGCACCGTAGATCCTTACCTAGGGTGGTTCTTCATATCCTATCTGCCCATGCATTTTCTTTCCCTGAAATTAGTTAGATTATGCAAAATGCCCTTGTTTTTCTAGATGTACCTTCTAAATCATCTTTAGGATGGAGCTCCACATTAAGAAAGTGGCAAAGAGAATGTAAGTTGCATTAGACTTTCAAGAAGTGTTGGTACCTTATTCTAACTTAAGGGAAACTACTTAGCCTCTGTGTGTTTCAGGCTCCCTGTACAAAACAGATTATAATAGTACCTACTTCAGAGGGCGTGAGATAGTACATGCAATGCTTTAAACAGTGCCCAGTTATCACTTAATAAAACTAGCTATTATGATTTTTGTCTTAAATGCATAGGTGAATTCAGTAGAATGGGAGGAAAATCCCAAGGGATCTTAAGAGAGAAACCAACAGCTGAACAGTGGAAACCAGTTTTGGAACTCCCAAGAAAGGAGGCCAGAGAGGAGGTATATTAGTCTGCATATCCTTTAGGGGGAAGAGGATGAGGCCTTGGCTTGTTTTAGGTAGGGATAACCCTAGGTTAGGGTAGAATTGAGATCCCACATATAATTAGGACCCTTGGGGAACTTTACTCTCACTGTAGGAATGGACTTGGAAAACAGTTTACCTACTGGCATAGAGAGGTGAAATGAAGTTCTGAAGTCTCATCTGGGTTTTAAATAGGCTCTTAATAATAAAGAAAAAAATCTCCTTGAGAATTTTAAACTATAGGCCTTCATTCAGCTGAATTTGGAGCCTATGCTGTATGTGTGTTCTAGGAGCTGATACTAGGCTGCAAATAACCCTGACAAATCTGCCAGAAACAAACTCAGAATTTTTGTTGAAGACACACCCTCAAATCAGGTAGTGCAAGATTCCCATAAAGCCACATTAGAAGTGAGTTTCCAGTTCATAATTATAGACCATACAAGGAAACAGATCCACCACAAGTGAAAATGAGTAGAAAAAAGAAACAGTAAAATTAGACCCCTAAGAACTTTAGAAAGTAGCATTATGAATCAAGACTAAAAAAAAGTATATTTAAGATAAATAAAAATGTAAAAGAATGAAACAAAAATGAGAGGACAAAAGACATTTAAGAAAGAAAGATCAGGCATATTTGGGAAAAAATGCCAATTAGAAGTAAAGGAATTAAATACATTGCAACATTGACTTTGAAAACTTAGTATTCAGATTATATAGTAAAGCTGTGGATGATGTTAGTAAAATCTTATCTAAAGGGCAACACAGACATAGAACGATGTAAAATATGAATGAGAGCTAAGAAATACAGAGGATATAATAAGAAGGTCCAACAGAGTATAAAGAAATGGGGGAAAGGTCATATTCATAGAGATGATTGAGACCTTTCAGAATTGATTAGAAATAAACAAAATACCATCATGGAGCACAATAAGTAGAAGTAAATCTCCATCTAGATACATTGCAGTAGAATTGCAAAACCATAAAAACAGAGATCTTGAAATGAACTAGAGAACTCTGAAGAATCCACAAAAGCTGAAAGATCTCCAATAAATGAATTCGGTAAGGAAGTTTACCTAAGAAAATTGAAAACATAATGTACATACAAATATGCCAGTGTTCTTAGTAACATCATTTTAAATAGCTGAAAAGTAGAAACAACCCAAATGTTCATCAATTTATGAATGGATAGGACGGTGGTCATGGAAGTCGGAATCCACTAAGGAGTGTGTAACAACTCACCTGCTGAATCAATTTATGAATGGATAAACAAAATGTTGTATAGTCACATCATTCAGCCATAGAAAGCAATGAAGTACTAATAAATACTGCAACATGGATGAATCTTGAAAACATGCTAAGTGAAAGAAACCAGACTCAAGGCCACATAATGTGTGATTCCATTTCTATGAAATATTCAGAAATAGGTGATTCCATAGAGATAAAATTCTTTGGTGGTTGCCTGGGAAGAGGGTATAGGAAATATGGGGATGGAGAGTGATTACCTATGGATACAGGGGTTCTTTTGTGGGTAATGAAAATGTTCTGGAATTAGTGGTGTTGGTTGCACAGCCTTGTGAGTGTACTAAAAACCATTGAATTGTATAAGTTAAAAAGTTAATTTCTCTGGTATGTGGATTATATCTTAAAAATAGTTATGTTAAAAAAAAGCAACAACCAGAGAGAAAAGAAAAATTAGCTGCAAATTAGCTGCAACAATCTTAAGAGGAAGCGTCTCAACAGCAGTAACAGGAGCCATAAGACAAAGTATCTTTAAGGTACTGAGAAAAAAGTTACTCTCAACAAGAGGCTGTAGAATTCCATACCTGTGTGATTATCATTGGAAGAAAATATAAAGCCATTTTCAGACAAACAATAAAATTAAGAAAGTTTACCAATATCAGAGTCTCACTGAAGTATTTGCTAAGAAGAAAGAGGAAAAGGTGTGACATCCAAGACGAAGTGCTGAGCAAAGAAACTGGAAAATAAGGGTAAATCTAAGCAAGCAATGATTATATGAAAACAATAATAATTACTAATTTGGCAATATAAAAGCAAGGTAGACCTGAACGACTGGACCAAATAACATGTAAATTGGAAGTGGCGGGGAAATTGGACTTAAGATCTTTTAATTATGTTCAGCAGATAGGTTGAGATGCTAGCTAACCTTGGACTTTGTTAAGACAAGAGTGCTTGTTAAAAGTTTAATAATAATAACTACTGTTTTTTACAAAAGAAAATAAAACAGTGTATAATTTCCAAACCAATGAAGTAGGGGTTAAAAAATACTTCATTAATCCAAGGAGAACTGTCATCCCAAGAAAAGATAGAGGAAGGGGGATTAAGTTGGAGCAGGTCACAGTGTTGCATAGGGAAATTTGGAAGGGGACATTAGAGGAGGTAAGGGATATTTGCTATTACACAGCCAAGGGAAGGGCATTCCAAGTAGTGCAATAGTCCTGGTAGTTTGGTACCTGTGTGAAATTAGTAGCCTTTGGAAGATTTCGGGCAGATGAGTAAAAAAATAATCTGATATATGCTTTAAAAAGATCACTGTGACTGCTTGTGTTGAGAACAGACTGGGAATAGGAGACAGAAGTAAACCAGAGAGACTAGTTAGGAGGCTGTTGAAATAACCAGGCAAGAGATAAATAATGGATTTATCTCCAAGCAGCACCCTTTATTGACTGAGAGAACATGCATTCTCCCACTCTAGCTTCTCAGTCTCTACAGAGACGTCATCCTCGTTGTTACTCTAAAGTCATGTCTGGAAGTTCTTGACCTTAAATGACCCCAGAGTCTTCTCAATTTTATTGACCACTCTTAATGAAACAGAAGTGGTCTTTTCCTCATTCTAAATTCTGAAAGGAAGTAGCCAAGTGCTAGCCAATTAATTACTGAGTGCTTAAATTCCTAGGAGCACCTGGATTTCCCAGATTGGGAGGTTGGAGGTTGGAGACCCTAAATAATGTGCAACCATACATTCTATGCCATACTCTATATTCCTTCAGACTGGGAAATGGACTTCCTAAATAAATTGATGGCATCTCCAGCAGAGCAGAGGCTCAGATTAGAGTACCTACTGGTACTCTAGGAGGCATTTTTGAAGTCTGGGAACTCTCCAAATATGGCCACAATTCTACATATCACAGAGATTGCATAGAGTGCCTTAGTCTTTGCTCCCAGTATCCACCAAGATGACCATGGTGGGAAGATGAAATGTCAGGCTTTGCTCTAAGTGACCAAGTGACTGTCATTGTAGAGGGCAACAGTCTGGTGTAACCCAGTCCTTGGAATAGGCAGCAGAGCATCAGCTTAGGGGGTTTCCACGTTACCTTCCGTGAGCTGAGAATTAGTGTGGCTGACTCTGTAAATATCCAGTACTTTCATCTTCTGGGATAAAAGAATGAAGACATGCTCTTTATCTTCTAGATCCTGAGGAAATGGCCATTGCCTGTTGAAATGGAAAAATTAGCCAGTTCCTTGTTTTGGATATTAGCTGAGTCATGGCAACTGTACCAGGATGTCTGACCTTTTTTTCCCCTGGCAGCTGTTGCATATTTGCCAAGTGAGATTATATGTACCTTCATAAAAAGGCATGTGGCCTAGAAATATGATCTTTAGTGATTTGGATTTAATTTAAATTTTAAATAAGATCATGGCAAATGAAATTAGATCAATTATCTGTCCCTGCAGTTTCAAGAGATCTTCATTTTCATACACAAGGAGTTTAGACATAATGGCTTGATATAACTTACAGTGCCAGGTGTACAAGTACCCTCTTTTATTATAGTAAATCTTGTAATAAGTTATACTCATTCATTCTTTGATTTAACAGCTATTTATTGAGAGCCTGCCATGTGCCAGGCAGAGTCCTAGGCACTGAGGAAAACACCACTAAATAAAGCATGCACAAGCCCCTGACCTCGTAGAGCTTAAGAGCCTAATGGGAGGAGAGATAACAGAAGACATGTGCAGAATACATAGTATGTTAGATAGTGGCAAGTACTGTAGAGGAAAATATATCGGGAAAAGAGAATGAGTATGTTTGGGAGGGAGGGGGTTACCATTTTAAATAGAATTATTAGGGGAAAATCCATTGTGAAGATTGTACATGAGCAAAGACCTGAAGGAGATGAGGAAGCAAGCCATGAGGGAGACAGGCAAAGGAAGTATCCTTCGTAAAGGCTGTGAGGCAATGGGCACATTCAGTGTGTTCTCAGAAAAGTGAGGAGGCCCATGTGGCTGGAGTAGAGTGATTAAGAGGGAAAGAGGGGATGGAGATCAAGAGCATGTAAAGCTCATAGGCTGGATTTAAGAACATGGACTTCTACTCTCAGTGAGACAGGGAGAAGTTTAAGCAGAAGAGTGACTTTAATGTTGTTTACATTAAAATTTTGTATAGCTTTATTGAAGTATGATTGAAATATACTAGGTTGTACATGTTTAAAATGTAGTTTGATGGCTTTTGATATATGTACGCATCTCTGAAACCATTAGTACAGTCAAGACAATAAATATATCTGTAACTCTCCCAAATTCCTCATGCCTCATATTACCTCCCCTACCTCTGGTTGGTGACCACTAATCTGTTGTCTATAGATTATTTAGCATTTTCTTGACTTTCATATGAATGGAATCATTCAGTATGCTTTCAGCATAATTATTGTGAGATTCATTTATTGCATGAATCAATAGTTTGCTCCTTTTCATTGCTGAGTAGTAGTCCATTGTATGGATATATTATGATTTGTTTATCCTTCATCTGTCAGTGGACATTTGAGGTGGTTTCCAGTTTTGGGCTGTCACAAATATTAAACAGCGTATAGTTGGGTCCTGCTATTTTATCCAATCTGATAGTCCTTGTGTTAATTGAATATATATTTATATTTTATGTGATTATTGGTATAACTGGATTTCAATCTATTATTTTGCTATTTGTTTGCTTTTTGATCTGATTGTACTTGTTCTCACTTTATTCTTTTCCTGCCTTATTTTAGATTGAGTATTTTTTGTGATTCCATTTTATTTCCTTTCTTGGCTTATTAACTATATTTCCTCACTTTTCTTTTTTGGTAGTTGCCTTAGTGTTTATAATATAACATTTTAACTTTTCAAGTAAAAGTATTTTGCCTGATACTTTCAAGTGGTAGTGTACCACTTCATATTTACTGTAAGAGCCTCACAACAGTCTACCTCCGTTCTCCCCTCCTAGCCTTGTTGCTCTGGGTGTTCTACGTTTTATATCTACATATGTTGTAAACTCCACAGTAAATTATTATATTTCCTTTAAAACTCAAAAAGAGATTTTAAAAATAAAAAGAGATGTTTTATAGTTACCCACATAATTACCACTTCTAGTGCTTTTCTTTGTATAGGTCCAGATTTCTACCTGTATCATGTTTCTTCTACCTGAAGGACCTTGTTTAACATTTGTTATAGTGCAGGCCTTTGGATACTGAATTTTGTCAGTTTTTGTGTGTCTGAAAAAAATCTTTAATTGGACTACGTTTTTGAAAGATATTTTTGCTTGGTATTGAGTTCTAGTTTCAGTTTCCTCACTGTCTTCTGGCTGGCATCTTTTTCCAAATAGAAGTCTGTTATCAGTGTTATCTTTGTTCTTCTGTATATTACGTAATTTTTAACACCTTTATTGTGAAGTGGTTCCTGTACAGTAAACT